AGTAATAACTGTTTATTATTTGATGTATGTAAAATTTCATGTTGAGTTCAAGTTAATCAATAATTAAGATTCATATATAAAATGGTTAGCGAAGATATAATTGTCTCCTTAAATCTTAATAATTTCAAAAATATACTACTTTTTTAATATGTTTTCAAAGTTTTTTAATATCTAATCAATTAATACACTATCTTGAATAGAGAGTAATGTTAAAATTAAACTATATCATATTGTTTTAACTTTGTTATATAGTTTAGATTATATTCTAAGATTAACTTTATTTTTTTAATTCTTGTCATATCTTTTTTATTATTATCTTTGTTAGTAAATAAATCTATTACTATTTTTAAACTAATTTTAGATTATTATTATTTATATCTATTAATAGTATAAATTAAATAAATTATCAGAATATCTTATGAAATAATCATGCAGTTTTTTGTTAAGTTAGTTTTCAATTAAGCAATTAAAATCAATCTTTATTTTAACTTCATTTAGCTTACTGTTCTTTGTTTGGATTATTAATTTAATGTAGTATCATTTAACATTAAATCTCTATAAATATTAATTAATATCAGTTTTTTTTTAAGGAGATCTCAATAAATACATTTCCTTAAAATGGAATACTTTTGAAAAACTTGTATGAATCTTGATTAATCAAAATTAAGAATAAAGCAAAAAAAAAGATATAATTAAAAAAATATAAAGAATGAATTTAAATAATAATTTGTTGTAATGTTGTTTATGAATAATAATTATCACTTTTACTTGAGGTCTTCTAAAATGCAACTTCCTTTTTGTTTAAACAATGTCTTTAAATCAATACCGGAATGATTTATAAACTCTCCTTTCAGAATTAAAGCTCCTTTGGCTTGAAATATTGCTTCTTGGGATATAAGTAGTGTAGTGATGTAATTGGAGGCTAACAATATGATATGGAATAAATAGTACCTTCATTAATATGACTATGTTATTGGAGAGGAATCTTAAATTATGCAAGAATATCTTTGTAGTTTTTATCAGAGGATTTAATTTCTTATCCTGTATTTACATCCCATAGGCGGATAAACTTATCATCACTACTAGAGGCTAATGTATTTCCATCAGGAGAGAAACAGACTGACATAACATAGTTACTATGACCATCTAATTTGGCTTTTTAATATCCTGTTTTGACATCCCATAGATGGATAGAGTTATCATCACTACCAGAAGCTAATGTATTTCCATCAGGAGAGAAACAGACTGAGTTGACTTAATATTAATGACCATCTAATTTGGCTTTTTATTATCCTGTTTTGACATCCCATAGACGGATAGAGTTATCATCACTACCAGAAGCTAATGTATTTCCATCAGGAGAGAAACAGACTGAGTTAATACAACTAGTATGACCATCTAATTTGGCTTTTTATTATCCTGTTTTGACATCCCATAGACGGATAGACTTATCATCACTACCAGAAGCTAATGTATTTCCATCAGGAGAGAAACAGACTGAGTTAATACAACTAGTATGACCATCTAATTTGGCTTTTTATTATCCTGTTTTGACATCCCATAGACGGATAGACTTATCATCACTACCAGAAGCTAATGTATTTCCATCAGGAGAGAAACAGACTGAGTTAATACAACTAGTATGACCATCTAATTTGGCTTTTTATTATCCTGTTTTGACATCCCATAGACGGATAGACTTATCATCACTACCAGAAGCTAATGTATTTCCATCAGGAGAGAAACAGACTGAGTTAATACAACTAGTATGACCATCTAATTTGGCTTTTTATTATCCTGTTTTGACATCCCATAGACGGATAGACTTATCATCACTACCAGAAGCTAATGTATTTCCATCAGGAGAGAAACAGACTGAGTTAATACAACTAGTATGACCATCTAATTTGGCTTTTTATTATCCTGTTTTGACATCCCATAGACGGATAGACTTATCATCACTACCAGAAGCTAATGTATTTCCATCAGGAGAGAAACAGACTGAGTTAATACAACTAGTATGACCATCTAATTTGGCTTTTTATTATCCTGTTTTGACATCCCATAGACGGATAGACTTATCATCACTACCAGAAGCTAATGTATTTCCATCAGGAGAGAAACAGACTGAGTTAATACAACTAGTATGACCATCTAATTTGGCTTTTTATTATCCTGTTTTGACATCCCATAGACGGATAGACTTATCATCACTACCAGAAGCTAATGTATTTCCATCAGGAGAGAAACAGACTGACTAGACAGTACTAGTATGACCATCTAATTTGGCTTTTTATTATCCTGTTTTGACATCCCATAGACGGATAGACTTATCATGA